GGAATTTCGCTGGCTCTTTTTCAGGTACACATGTCTGCAAGTATATGTCACCAACAGTGATAAGATATTTTATATTATGTTATACCATAATATAAATTAAAACCAGTTTTTGGAATGTAATTTTCCTTATTTGTACTTTAGATTAGTGTTTGTATGCACATTACTTTACATTATTGTTGGTTAGAAACTAAATGTGTTAGTTATCAGTCAGTACCACTAGCATAATCATGCATAATTACACTGTTATAAAATTATGTTATAAAAACATAGTTGTTCAAATACCCTATATATATAGTGCTAAATATCAGTTAACAACTTAACAAAAAATTGAGTGTACAACTTAACATATAAATTATCCGGATATATTGGGGTATACTCTGCAAATTATACATTAACTTAAATTCATCAAGAATTTTAGTAAGCCATTTTTTATGTAAACCGAGTGTAATATAGCTTAAGTGGTATTCGTCTATAAACTCACATAACTACAATTTATTCAAATAGAATATGTAACATTAAATAAAATATCATTTAACGAATATAATAATTTGGAAAATTTTAAATATAACCTTTCTAATTTATAGATTAACATGTAATTTATATTTAAACTTCTCAACGAGATTATGAAGTTGCTAATTCCATATATAAAGTGAATGTATACATTTATAGAAAACCGCTTTCCAAAATTACACATTCGTTAATTATTTAGTTAGTCGATGAACACTAAATAAAATAGCATTTAACTAATAGAATATCCAGCTAATTTATAAATTAACTCACAAGTTATATTTAAACTTCTAAAAAACTTTATCATAACAATGGTTTCATATCCCCTATATATATTATTTAAGAGACATTTTAAGTTATAACTTATATTTTAGTGTTGAGGTGTCAACACCACAGCTCTCTCTTCACAACCCCTATTAGAATAGGCCTACATTACTAGAGAAATCACATAAATGACATTGTGTACAATATTATATAGTAAATCAAGACCACATTTAATTAATTATAAGCGACCATCTGCATTTGGTTATGTATCTAACCGAATTATAGAAAATAACATTTCTGATTTGTTATTGAAACCGGGTATATACAAACGCTTTATAAGGAAAAAAAAACAGCATAGTCATCAACAAAAATATGAACTATGAAACAAAAAGTTAAGAAATCTAATGCACTGGCAAGGCAGTGTGATATCATTATCGTTTTACATTATTTCAGACTCAAATATATGACAAGTGTTTGCATACTTATATTGAAATAAGATGAAAGGACCTCAGGACTTATTGGAACAGAGTATTTGGCTAAGAAAAACACAGCGTTGTGCTAATGAAATTAGTTAACTTCCCTACAAACAATGTTATCTAACTATAAAAGTGAGAGGAAAATAATAGTTTATATCATGGTATATAACTTTTTCACCATTATACTGATCATACCTTACGGATCCAAGTCAAATGATGATCATAAATTTATAGAGCATATGTAAAAGTTTTAAATAACAAGTTTCTTCATCCATCAAATAAACATATTTATTGTATGTAGTCAGACGTTTATCTTGCATAAGTTTTACGTGAGATATGTTCGACACCATTTGCATTATAGAGTTTTGATAATATACAAAATACATTATTATTTATTATAGATTATAAAATAGTTGGTTATTGTTCATTGGTTATTACCGTACTTTACTAACTGGATCGTTCGTTTATAAATTAAACTGGTACATTATGAAGTGTTCTTGAAGTTTAGATATTCATGATATGGCAAATTTGTTTAATCTGTACATACAGAATGTTTGACTTACTTAACATAGTGATTGTATATTTAATACGTGATACAAAATTACTTATTTTCTTTCATTCAATTGCAAGTATTTAACATAAAGGGGAAATTTGGGAAAATGCAGTGAAATGAGATTATAATTTGAATACTACACCCTTATTTAAGATTTTGGAAAAATATACTACATATGTAAATTTATTTAATTGCCCAATATTAATTATTTCTCAATTTTTAATATAGTTTTTTTTTCAAATCTTAAAAAAAAAGAAAAAATTGTTAGATAAATATTTTTTGAAATATTTGTTAGAGAATCTACACAATATTTTCCCATATTGTGTATGAAAATAATATAGGGAATAATATATAGAAGATGTCGATGTAAAAATTAGACCTTAACAATATTATATTCAAAATAAAAAAAATTATAACAAATGTTAGTAGTCATTAAAAACTTATTCAGTAGATATATTGACTTCTAGGAAAAATGAATATTTTTGGAGAACATAACCTTGTTTATATAAGATTAAGAAAATAAAACAAAATTCATATAAACTTCATGTTAAAGTCAAAACAAATCATAATTTGTTTTATTTATAAATATCTTTATTATTTTTTAAAAAAGCCCATATTTATCTCAACGTAGTTATTTATCTTAAATATTAATAATTCCCGATATTATTATTAATTTTAAATTATATTTTAGTTATTGAAATATCCAATTTGTATAAAAAGGTAAATTCACATTGAATAAGGTGTAAGTTTCAAAAAAAAACAGGAAAGGTAATTTTTAAATATCAAACTGCTAATAGGGTAATTTACAAATCATCCCATAAAATAAATACCAAGTTCTCTCGCAAGTTATATGTATTTAGTATTCCAATATGGAATAATTATTAAATAGTACTAAATCGTGATTTACGCAAAGCATATATTTTCTGTTATAAATGTGTATTTTAACAACTTTCTCTAACCTATTCTTCACTTTAACTATAAAAATCTGGGTATGCTTATAGCACAACCAGGCCCGTCTTATATATAAATTAGGCGTTAGGCTAAAAAGAATTTATGATCTATTTTCTTATACAATTTTTTTTACAAAAAAATAGGTCCTAATTTAGGCCAGAAAAAACAAAAAAAAAATAGATTGGGCCCTGTGCAAATGTACCTCCAGTACAAGGCCAAAGCCGGGCCTGAGCACAACTCACACTTTGCAGCATAGGTTTTTTATATATTTATATAGCATAAGCTTGTTTCTTATGGCAGCATGCAACTCAGTTGCTAAATTGAAACCATTCAAATCCACGTGGAAAATCAAAGTTAAGATAATTAGATTTTGATAATAATACTTTGCTGGTGGTGAGACTGACCATTGAAATGGTGTCAAGCGACGTGAATATGAGAGTTTTCCTATATTTAGTATATTTTTATTCACGACTAGTTCATCTTTAATATGATATAGTGACTTTTTTGTATGACAAGGAGAAAAAATATACGCTACCGTGAAAAAGAGTTGGTTAACTATTTTGAAGCATTACTATCACAAGGAATACCCAAAATATTCATCAATTTTTTCTTGAATCACTCTTTCTATCTCGACCAAATTAAACAAACAAAAAATAATAATAACTTATGTTGCATCACGTATACTGTTTATAAGTAAAGTATATTTTTATTTTTAAGCCTACCCGCGCAGGATGTAGATTATCACCTAGTGTAAAATGAATTCAACATTTAAATAAATATATTTCTAAAATTACATAAACGCTAAATGTTAAACTAGTCGATAACACTAAATAAAATATAATCTAACAAATAGAATATCCAAGTAAGTGTAAATATAATCCTCTAACTTGCATATTAACTTACAAGTTATACTTAAACATCTTAAACAATTAATAAAGTTAATTTTTCATATGTAAGATAAACTACACAATTAAGGAAATTTTCTTTATAAAATCACATAACCACTAAATATTCAAAAACTGGTTAACATATACATTATTATATCATCAAAGCCATACCCATACAACATTAAATATATAGTTCCTAATTACACATATAATATATGCTATATTTGTAAAAAACACACTATTAGTATAGGTAACCAAATCTTGAATTGATTTTAAATGATCCTGTCATCTTGTTCAGTACAAAACATATCTCTCATAATTCTAGGAATAGTAAAAAAAACATTTACATATTTATCTATTGTATCATTATTTAAATAACAATCTACGGTATCATTTAATTAAATATATTATGGTACGAATGTCACGTCTTTTCAAACTTTATGTATATATTATATATTTTTAGGTCTGGTAGATTTCACATACGTTATCAAGGGGCAAATGGTAAATAACATCACTAAATTGCTACAAATGTTTTAGTTTTGAATTTTTTGGATACTTACCATAATTTTGTACCTCTTTATGTATTAGCGACGGTCAGAGATAGACCTTGCCCGTAAGCAGAAGATTAGAGATAGAGGTTTCATTTTCTCTCATGTTGATCAAACATAGCCAGATGAACTTGTTTTATGGAGGAACAATTCGTCTAACCAAAACTTGGTCTAAAATGAGTAGCCGACAAAAAAAAAATCTTATATTGGACTAGGTTCAAAGAATAAATATTTTCCAAATAATTAAGATATTTCGTTGAAAATATGTGAAGATGATTATTGGAATAACCACATCTATCTGCAACATATCTTCTTTTGTTACAAACATATACAGTACAATGCAATGGAATGCATCTAAAAATTAATGTGGTGTATTTGTCAACAAAAGGTTAACTATTTTTTTATTTGATCAAAAAAGAAGGTTAATTATTTTTTTGGGAAAGGAAAAGGAAAAAAAAAACCTTTTCTTTAACATGTTTACCAAAAAAAAATGTTTTTAAGGAAAAAAGGTAAGTAGCCGTTAGATAAACAGACATGGAATGACTCCAACTTCTTTGCCTTTCAACGTTCAAAAAATTATATTCGCTTCAAATTAAACTTTTCCTTTTCTTCAACAAAGCGACGTCGTTCTATCTGTCAGACGCTGTTTTATAAACCTCAGAGACTCTTCCATCGTCAAATCCTCTCTCTCTCTCTCTCTCTCTCTCTCTCTCTCTCTCTCTCATTCATCGAAAGAAGAAGGATCTTTTGTTTTCGCTCTCTTCTCTCCTTCTTCGAAATTGTGTCTGGGTGTGAGGATTAGGAAACGAAAGTGATGGCTTCGGTTAATGGGTACGAAGGAAACACTCCGGCGGCGTCAAAGCAATCTGCGCCTCCGACTAAAACTGTTGACAGCCAATCTGTTCTCAAAAGGTATCTTCTTTCTTCTCTCCATGCCTCAGATTCGGATGGTTTGTTTAGTAGCCGGTAATGTACTTATCTTTGCATACAAACTGTTTGTTGTAATGTTTCTCCATGAACATTGAATCAGATCTTGGTACGCTATATTGATCAAAGCTTTGGATTTTTGTACCCTAATTAAAGATTCTCTTTTACTTTAACGCAGGCTGCAATCTGAACTAATGGGCTTAATGGTAAGTTATTTTTCCCTTTCACTTGTTGTAAATAAGCTAATCTTGAACCAGTTTTTGTTTTGTGGCGGTGACATGGGTTTGTTTTTTGCAGATGGGTGGTGACCCTGGAATATCGGCTTTTCCGGAAGAAGACAACATATTATGTTGGAAAGGGACTATAAAAGGAAGCAAAGAGACTGTGTTTGAAGGAACTGAGTACAGACTCTCACTCTCTTTCTCCAATGACTATCCTTTCAAACCCCCAAAGATCAAGTTCCAGACTTGTTGCTTCCACCCCAATGTTGATCTCTATGGAAATATCTGTTTAGACATTCTCCAGATGAGAACTACCTTCCACTTATGTCTTTTCTTTTGTGTGCTATTAAAAAAAAAAATCAGAGAAGAAGAAGTAATGTTTATCCGTTTCCACATCTTTGTTTTGAGCAGGATAAATGGTCATCTGCTTATGATGTGAGGACAATACTACTATCGATTCAGAGCTTTTTGGGAGGTAATTTACTGTGCATAGCCCCTTTGATTTCTTGTAAGCCGTTAATCCAATATCTGAGTGACTTGTATTTTTTTTACAAATTTTGTTGTTCAGAACCGAACATCAGCTCACCACTGAACACTCAAGCAGCACAGCTCTGGAGCAACCAAGAAGGTGTACAATGATTGCAGATAATTATTTCACCACACATTCGTCAAGTTTCTTACGTCCCTTTTTGGATTTTTTTTTTTGCAGAGTATAGGAAGATGGTTCAGAAACTCTACAAGCCTCCAAGTGCATGATATCTTTAAGCAAGCTGTTCTGGTGATGAATGACTTTTAGGGAAGAACCCGTTTGTGGCATTCATTTTCTCTAATTCTTTGTTTCTGATCATCATCCGCAATTTTATCTAAAGTTTTGACCTTGAGCCAAATAATGACATGATGTGAACGAGTGAGCTTTCAGAAATTAATCAGAAAGAAAAAGAGATGGATTCTTATTCATTTTCAAACCGAAACAACAAAAATACACAAATTCAAAGAACAATACCAATCATCATTATTTATTGTTGAACTAAGGAACAACTAATGTGAATGAGTGAAGCCTCTTCAAGCTTTGAATGAATCACCAAATTAAGAAAGACCACGAACTTTTCCAGTGAAAGTGTCAATGTCGATTTCATAGAAGCAAGGTCTTGTCGGAAGTCCAGGCATTGTACTCATTGTACCAACCAAGGGATATATGAACCCAGCTCCAATACTTGCTCTTACATCTCTTATCGGCAACACAAACCCCGAAGGTGCTCCTTCCTTCGATTCATCATGAGAGAAAGAGTACTGTGTTTTCGACATGCATATAGGAAGGTTGGAGAAACCTTGTTGAGTGTACATCTCAATCTGTTTCTCAGCCTGCATTCACATTATTACAGTCATAAACATATATAACTTCTAGAAGAAAAAAGAGGATTTTCTTTAACAATGTTTGGACTATCACCTGGTTTGAGTACTCAACACCACTGGCTCCGTAGGACTTGGCAATGGCCTCAATTTTATCTTTGATGCTAATGTCCAATGGGTAGAAAAACTTAAGAGGTTGTGTAATGTTTTGACAAGCTTTTTCAACCGCAATGCCAAGATCCACCTACAACAACATTTAGAAGATAAATCCATCTTTCAAGACAGATCAGAAGGTGTTAAGAGTTTAGAAGAGAGAAGATATTAGTTACCGCTCCTTTGCCACCATGAGCATGGTGGGAACAAAATCACAGCATCAAAAGCACCAGCATCCAACGAAATCTTCCTTACTGCATTTAGTTCTGCTTCAGTGTCCGTTGAGAACATATTCACAGCAACAACCACGTTAACACCATACGCCTTTACGTTTGATATATGCTTCGCAAGATTCACACAACCAGCTTCCACCAAGGAAACGTTCTCGCTTACATACGCGTGATCAAGAGGCCTTCCGGCAACAACATCAGGCCCACCACCAAGCATTTTCAAGGCCCTAATATTCGCCACAACAACCGCATACTGAGGCTTTAGCCCGCTGTAACGGCACTTAACGTTCATGAAATTCTCTGTTATAATGTCAAAACCAAAACCAGCTTCGGTTATCACGAACCCACCCGGTCCCACTAGATTCAAAGCTATTTTATCCGCAACGATAGATGAGTTTCCATGAGCTATGTTTGCAAAAGGACCAGCATGAACCAGGACAGGTGTTCCTGCAAGCGTTTGCATGAGTGTAGGGTGAATAGCGTCTTTCATCAGAACAGTCAAGGCTCCTCCAACACCGAGATCATCTGCTGTAATAGGTTCCCGGGAACTGCTGTTACCAATCACCATCTTACCAAGCCTCTCTCTCAATCACCCAGAGAGGTTGTCAAAGCCAAAACAGCCATGATCTCACTAGCAACAGAAATGTCGAACCCGGTTTCTCTAGTCATCCCTTTCTCCTCAGACCCCTGACCAACAGTTATCTTCCTTAAGAACCGGTCATTAACATCCATCACCCTCCTCCAAGTAATAGAATCAGGAACAATATCAAGCCTAGCAAATCTCCTTATCTCCCCAGGAGTAAGCTCCTCAGGACTGGTCTTGGAGATGCCAAGCTTTGTCAAACGCCTAAACATAATGTCAGTAAAACTACATTTCCCTTCTTTATTAGGACGACACAGCCTGTTGAAAAGAACCATGTCGGATTGAAACGCCTCATGGAACATCCGAGCGTCGATAGCAGCAGCTAAGAGATTGTTGGAAGCAGTTATGGCGTGGATGTCACTAGTGAGATGGAGATTAAACTCATCCATAGGAATCACCTGACTATACCCACCACCAGATGCACCTCCTTTGATTCCAAAGGTTGGTCCCTGTGAGGGTTGGCGAAGACAAGTAACAACCTTCTTGTTGAGGTAAGCGCCTAAGGCTTGGCAAAGACATACGGTGGTGGTAGATTTGCCTTTTCCAAGAGGAGTTGGAGTAGTGCCTCCAACAACAACATAGTAGCCGTCTTCTCGGTCTTGAAGCTCATCGAATGCAGACAAAAAAAACTAAATTTTGAACAGAACATAATAGCTGATTGATGTCGGATTGAAAGAAAAAAAACTGAGATTCATCATCATCCACAGGGAAAAGAGAGAAAAAGGAAAGACCTTTGCTTTGTACTTGCAATAGAGATCGTAGTGAAG